GAGTGTGGTAAAACGTAGTGTGTGCGTACATGCATGAGTGTGGTAAAACGTAGTGTGTGCGTACATGCATGAGTGTGGTAAAACGTAGTGTGTGCTTTCCATCCCGCCACAATGATACAGTTACCCACCTCATGAGAACTGCTCTGTTACATAGGTAGTTTAGGCTTTAGAGTTATACACAGTATGTTGGGGTATGGTTGATGCAAGTGGTTAACATATTTGGCTGTTAACCACAAGGTTACAGGTTTGTTCCAGAAATGCCTCAGAAGGGCCCATCAACCTACATCTAAAACATTGAAAACCCTGTGGAGCACAGTTCTACTTCAATAGTCATGAACATCAATGAATTGGAATTGATGCCAGTTGTTAGTTTAAGTTTGAATGTAAGTGTGGATGAACTGCCTAATCTTAACAGTAAGTGTTATTGTTGTTGCTGTTGTTGTTAAATACTCTTGAGTCCGTTCAGACCCATAGCGATCTTGTGTAGAGTTTCCAAGGAGCAACTGGTGGGGTTTGAACCGCCGACCTGCAGTCCTGCACATTGCCCTGCAGCACTACACCAGGACTTCAACATCCCATATACACCCTCCTGTATTACATTCCCAACACCATTTCAGTCAACCAGGTTTCATGAATTTTAAAACATCTGTTGCTTGTCTCTGCCACCCTCTCCTTTCTACACACAACATCCTCTTAGTGGAGTCCTGGTGTGGCACTGGACTGCAAAGTTGGTTTGAATCACAAGATTGGTGGTTCAAGCTCACCAGCTGCTCCCTAGAAACCGTATACAGGGTCACTATGAGTTGGAACCGTCTCATCAGCACTTACCAACAACAGCAGCCCTCTCAGTGCAGTTTGCGTTTGTGTTTGTATGATTTCCCAGTTACTGCTGGCTGTCCTTTACAAGACTTGACAGTTCTTAATTAAAAGCTGCATTACTAGTTGGGAGTCTTTATTGACTCTTCTCTTAAATTTTAGTGGATAACAAATTTACAAGAAGCATGTCAAAGTAAAGATTGGTCCCCATTCCTCATACAACGTCTCTCAGACGTTTTGTGCATTTAAAGAGAAGCTTCAGTTAGACTTCTTTCCTGAGCGCATCATCTCGGTTCACCATGTTTGAAGAGCTGAGAGTCGGAGCCTGTGATTAGTTCTAATGGTGCTTTGATGTTTCTGCCTGTTTCATCTCTCACACTCTCTGTTCTTCCTTTGCAGAAAGATGTTTGGAAGATCACGAACTGGTAGTCCAGGTGGAGTGCACCATGCCAAGTGAAAGTAAATTTTTGTTCAGGAAGAATTATGCAAAATACGAGTTTTTTAAAAATCCTATGGTGAGTTTTGTCTGCTTGAGTTTGGGGTTTGTAACTTTTGATGTCTTGGGAGTTTATACTTAGGTTTACCAGTATCATCAGAGTCCTGGTGTGGCACTGCGAGTCAGTGCACTGGACCGCAAGGTTAGTGGTTCAGTCTCACTCACCACTTCTCGGAAACCCTATACAGAGTCGCTATGAGTCGGAACTGGCTCCATGGCTCTTAAGAACAACAATAGTATCATCAGTTTACGAAACAACTTAATCGAGATCAGGGCTCTAGATCCTTTCAAACTAGTCCAATAATGGCTGATACAACAAAATCCCAAATGTGTAAAATGTGAGTGTACCAGAACAGTTATGGGGTAGTGGCGGGATTATGGATTGAAATCCCAGAATGGGAGAACAGAAAAAGATGTAGTGAATCATTTCAGGAACCTGATGCCGGGATTGCATTGTTGCCCAGACCGTGGAGAGTGACATCCGTTCAGCGTGGAGCAGTTGACTGCCATCTTTGAGCTGCGCACTGCTGTTTCTGCTTCTACCAGTCTAGAGAGTTGGTTACTCTGCAGTGTGCACACTGCCCTGGTTTTCTGGACTACTAGCTTCAGGGTTGGTGGTTCAAACCCATCAGCTGCTCTTCAGAAACCCTGTACAGGGTCCATATGAGTTGGAACTGACTCCACGACACTTAACAACAGGATTAAATTTCTGACCAGTAATTTTTTCCATTCCGATTATTGTACCAGTTTGCCCACATTTTGCAAATTCAGGTCTGTTCCATTGTCACTTTGTTGGCCGGGAAGAACTGGTTCAAAACACTGCTTGAGATTTGCAAAGTAGTATATGGGTTTGAGAATTCATTTAGAGGTGGTAGTGTGCCGTGGAGTTGGTTCCGACTCATAGTGATCCTGCATAGGTTTTCCGAGGCTGAAAATCTTTACGGGAGCAGAAAGCCTCATCTTTCTCCTAGAGCAGCAGGTAACTTCAAACTGCTGCCCTTGAGGTTAGCAGCCCAACTCTTAACCACTATGCTACCAGAGCGCCTTCTGTTGATATTTAACGAAATGACCTTTGCTCACAACTTAATCTCTGATGCTCAACTGTATGCCTTTGGGACTGGACAAAGGTTATGATTGCCTTCAACAAATGCAATAATGGAAACAGAATTAGTCTCCAAGTTGTAGAGATAGGAAATGCCTAATTCTTGTAGCTATTTTGGAAGTTTTTTATTAAATCGATATACATTGATTAGTAGTTTAGGAGAAGAAAGACTTATGTTCTCTGTAAATTAGAAATATTATTCTGTGTTTATTTATGTAAGAACGAGTAGAAAAATAAGTAGCTAGGTGTGTTCATCTAGTCTTGATTTTTCTTTCCCCTCCTCTATTGTTGAGAGGGACTTACTTATTGAACTTTCAAAAACATGATCCCCATACCCTAAGTAGTTACATTTTTATCCTTAATCATGGGACAGACCCATGTCAACCTGGGGACAAGGTTGGGGATCAGCTTCTGGCTGTAGTTATTTAACTGCTCTTTTCTCTATGAAAGAAATTTGATGACCATTTTAAAGTAATGTACTAGAAAATCATTTTTTTTCATATCACTGTATTCACCTTTAGTTTCTGGGCTCCCTTGTCTCATACCACATAATTATGCCATGAAATTATTATGGTTGGCAACTTGTGGCACAGAAAGTCTGCATTAAAAGTAAAAGGAATTACAAACCTGAATTGGACATTTAAGAAAACTGAATGCAGACTTTTGAAATAGGAGTTTCTACTCTTTTGGTGTGGTGCTGTAGGATAACCATGTGACCAATAAGGCCGGTTTGAATCGCCAGGTTGGCAGTTCAAACTCACCAGCCGCTCCTTGGAAACCCTACACAGGGTCTCTGAGTTTGAACCAACTTAACTTAGCAACAACTGTGTGACTGAGGGAGTCCTGGTGTGGTGCTGTAGGATAAGCACTGAACCGCAAGGTCGGTGCTTCAAAGCCACCAGCCACTCATTGATTCACAGAGTTCCTGTGAATCAGAACCCACTGGACGGCACTGAACAATGACATTGTGGTGGAAGGAACCCGAGTGGTGCCTGGGATAACTGTTGGGCTGCTAACTGAAAGGTCAGTGGTTTGAACCCACCAGCCGCTCCATAGGGGCTTCCCTATAGACTTACAGCCTCAGAAACCCTTTGGAGCCACCGTACACTTTCCTGTAGGTTTGCTGTGAGTCAGATCTACTGGCCAGCAGTAGGTTTGTTTGTGTGCTAAAAGAATAAAAATGTATCTAATTGTCCCTGTAGGGATGGTTTTAATACTGACATACCTATAAATATGTTTTATTCCCCACTTTGAAGCTAACTTTTAACATTTTTGTTTTTCTACCCATTTCCTTAGAATTTCTTCCCGGAACAGATGGTTACATGGTGTCAGCAATCAAATGGCAGTATTCCCCAAACCCAGCTTTTGCAGGTACTGCATAAAAATAGACTTCTTCTGAAATGGGGTTTATTGATAACAGCCCTTCTGGAACTGTAATGTGGCAGTGTCATCAAATCTTGAAGAGGCTACGTCCTTAGTCACATCGTGACTGTGGCTCCAAGGGCAATTTAGAGTAACCAGAAATAAATGTTTACTTGAGAAATCTGTGTGTAGTAAGAATTTTTCAAACTGAAACCAGCACTTACAAACAGGATGCACTTACTTTCAAAGAAATCCAAGAAATGCAGTCCTTGAAATATGAGCCAAGAGGACCAACATGGTAAGACGGGATAGGCAGGCTGAGAGTCTCCGAGAGTGAGCATGTTCCCCAACTTCAGATTCACACCTACTATCTGACTCAAATAAAATAGAGTCTACTTAATAGAAAAACGATTCGGTTTCCATAAAGTCCTTTTGAAAGTTACTTGGTTGTTATAGTTGTTAGGTGCCGTAGAGTGGCTCTGACTCATAGCAACCAAAACAGTAACTGCTCCTGTGTCCCCCTCACAGTTGTAACGCTTGAACCTACTGCTACAGCCACCGTACCAATTCATCTCGTGGAGAGTCTTCCTCTTTTCCGCTGACCCTCCGCTTAACCAAGCATGATGTCCTTCTTCTGGGACTGATGTTTGTGAAGTATAAGAGACGAAGTCTGGTCATCCTGGTGTCTAAGGAGCACTCTGGCTGGGCTTTTTCCAACACAGATTGGTTTGTTCTTCTGGTAGACCATGGTATTTTCAATTTTCTTCTCCAGTACCGTAACTCAAATGCATCAATTCTTCTACCATCTTCCTTATTTATTCTCAACTTTCACATGCATATGAGGCTATTGAAAATACCATGGATTGGATCAGGCATAACTTAGTCCTCAAGCTGATATCTTTGCTCTTTGAGCACTTTAAAAAGAGGTCGTGTGCAACAGATTTTGCCGTTGCAATACATCATCTGACTTCGTGACTGCTGCTGATAGTGGATCCAAACAAAATTATTTTTTTGGCAACTTCAATCTTTTCTCCCATTGTTATGGTGTTACATATGGATGTATTTGTGAGGATTTTCTTTCTTTTTATTGAGGTGCACTCCCTCCTGAAGGCTGTGGTCTTTATACTTCATCTGTAAGCATTTAAGTCCTCTTCACTTTCAGCAAACAAGGTTGTGTCGTCTGCATATTGGTGGTGGTGGCGGTTGCATGCCACCACATTAGTTCTGACTCATAGCAACCTGTATAGGGTTTCCAAAGCTATAAATCTTTACAGAAGCAGAAAGCCTCCTCCTTCTCCCATGGAGCAACTGGTAGATTTGAACTACTGACCTTGCAGTTAGCAGCCCAGCTTGTAATCCACTATGCTACCACAGATTGAATAAATATGGTGAAAAAATAGAACCTGGGTGCACACCTTGCATGATTTCAAATCATTCAGTATCATCTTGTTCTGTTTGAATGACTACCTGTGTACACTTTCCTCATGGGGACAAACGAATGTTCTGGAGTTGCCATTTTTCCCAATGTTACCCTTAGCTTGCCATGATCCACACATTTTGCATAGTCATTAGAGTACAGGTAAACATCTTTCTGCTGTTCTGTACTTTCAGCCAAGATCCATCTGATGTCTACAGTGATGTCCCTAATTCCACATCCTCTTCTGAATCCAGCTTGAGTTTCTGACAGTTGCTCGATAAAGACTGTTGCAGCATCGACAAAGACTGTTGAATTATCTTCAACAGAATTTTCCTTGTATGTGATATTAATGATATAGTTCGGTGATCTCCACATTCTGTTGGTCACCTCTGTTTGGAACAGGCACAAATATATGGATTTCTTTCAGTCACTTGGCTAGGTAGATGTCTTCCAAATTTCTTGGGATGCATGAGTAAGTGCCCCCAGTGTTAAACTACTTTGTTGAAGGATTTCAGTTTACATTCTGTCAATTCCTAGAGTCTTGGTTTTGTTTTTTTGTTATTATTTTGCCAACATCTCAATTCAAGTTGCACTTCTTCCTTCAGTACCATCAGTTCTTGATCATATTCTACCTCATGAAATGGTTGAACACTGACTATTTCTTTATGGTACAATGACTGTGTATACCTTCTATCTTGTTTTCATGCTTTCTATGTCATTCAGAATTTTGCTCATGGAATCCTTCAATACTGCAAGTCAAGGCTTGAAATTTCTCATCAGTTCCCTTAGTTTGAAAAATGTTATTCCCTTTTGGTTTTCTAACTCCAGGTCATTGCATATTTTGTTACAATATTTGGCTTTGTCTTCTTGAGCTGACTTTTGATATTTTCTGTTCAGCTCGCCTACCTTTTGATTTTGTAACTCCAGCTATTTGCACATGTCATTATAATATTTGGCATTGTCTCCTTGAGCTGTCCTTTGAAATCTTTCATTAAGCTCTTTTACTGCCTCCTTTCTTCCATTTGTTTTAGTATCTCTATGCTAGAGAGCAGTTTTCTGAGTCTTTTCTGACATCCATTTTGGTATTTTCCTTCTTTCTTGTCTTCTTAATGTCCTTTTGCTTTCTTCCTGAAGTTATCCCACAATACTCTGGTCTTTAGTGTCTGATGCATCAGCTTTGTTTTTGAGATGATTTCTAAATTCAGGTGGGATATGTTGAAAGTCATATTTTGGCTCTTGTGGACTTGTTTTAATTTTTTTCAGCTTCAGCCTGAATTTGCATAGGAGCAATTGATGATCTCTTTTACAGTCTACCCGTCTTTGTTTTGACTTACGGTATTTTGTTTTTCCACGTGTCTTCCCACAGATGTAGTCAACTGCATTTCTGTGCATTCCTTCTGGTGAGGTCCATGTGTATAAATTACCTTTTATGTTGTTTAAAAAAGTATTTGCAATGAGTAAGTCATTGGTCTTGCAAAATTCTATCATGCAATCTCCAGCATCATTTCTGTCACCATGGCCACATTTTCCATCCTTCTCATTCTAGTAAGCAGCTGTTATCAATTATCTTGATTGCATTTTTGAACAATTTCAGACTGAAGAAGTTGGTAGAGTTCTTCAACTCCATCATTACTGGCTTTAGTTGTTATTGAGTGCTGTGTGGTTGGTATGCAGATTTGAATACTAGTGGTATCAGTTGGTCTTCCTTGTAGGTGTGTGGATATTATCATGCCACAGACAGCATACTTCAAGGTCTTGAAGGGTTTTTTTGTTGGTGAATGTTATGCCATTCCTCTTGAATTTCTCATTGCTGGTATAGTAAATCGTATAATTGATTCAGAATGACCAACACTGAGCCATTTCAGCTCCTTAATGTTTGGGATATTTAAATATATAAATTCCATTTCATTTTCGAAACCTTCCAGTTTTCCCAGATTTTCATAGCTATGGGCCCATTATTAATGGATGTTTGCTACTGTGTCTTCTCATTTTGAGTTGTGCCCTATCAGCAAATGAAGGTTTTGAAAATTTTACTCAATTCGCATCATCATGGTCAACTCTACTTTGAGGAGGCTGCTCTTCCCCAGTTGCATTTTGAGTGTGTTCCAACCTGAGGGACTCACCTTGCAGCAGAATATCTGACAATATTCTGGAACTGTTCATAGTCCAGCACTATATCATATAATGTTCACTAATATCCATACGGTTTTCAGTAGCTGAACATTCAGAAGTAGTCTACCTTGTCCTTCTTGTTCTATAATTTGGAAGTGCTGATGAAACCTGTCCTCTACATGTGAACTGTTGTTAAGTGCCATCGAGCTGGTTCCAACTCATAGAGACCTTGCATAGGGTTTCCGAGGGGTGGTTGGTGAGATTGAACCACCAGCTTTGTGGATCAAACAGACCTTGCTTTCCTGCTACTATTTAAAATGCTGATGGCATCACAGCAACACAGAAGTAACCATAGGCACTCCGCTGACACTTGTCCTCCATTGTGACCTGCTTGTATATAAAATACCGGTGGCAGAGTTTACAGCATCACAGCAGCAAACAAGTAGGATAAACTAACATGCTTTCTAAAAGTTTGATCCAAGCCAAAAAAAGGAAAGAAATGAGTCGTATGCTAAATGAGTCTCTAAGACCACCACCAGCACTATCGAGGTTACCTCACACTCACACCTAAGAGAAGTATGCAGGTTTAATACCCTCCGAGTTCTGCCTTTAAGTCCACCCTTCCAGCTTTGTTGGTCACTGGGTTGTTTTCCACTGTCTAAAAGTCTTCTATCTGCAGTAGCCCTCACTACCCACCATAGCTCTATCACATTGGTCTGGCCTCGCAGGGGCCTGGTGAAGGGAAAATGACTCATTTCTTTCTTAACTGCCCTGACTGTGTGTTTGGTTTTTGTGCTTTGTAAGCGTGTGTGACACTCTACTGAGACCATATACACTGGGCCTGGGACAGTGGCATGAGGGGGCTGTACGCCTTGCCCATCCCACCCACTGAAAGTGAGTCAGCTTCTATCAGTGGCCTGGTCCTGTGACCTATCCCTCTTCCTCTCTTTCCCATGGAGAAGAAAATGACACACTTTTTTTCTTGTTTTCTGCAAAGCCCTTTCCCCTCCTGCCAACCTTGAGGCTGTCTGTGGGTAGGGTTTCCTGGAATGGTAGGCTGTCATCAAGGCATTGCAGACAGGCAATTGGGAGATGCCAGGATCACTTGTATCCATCTCCCAGTTGGAGAGGGTACAGGGATAAAATATGAGCAAGGTGTTCTCTGTTCCTGGTGCTCCCTGGCACTTGCTCCTGCCCTAACTTAGATAATCAGACTGGATCTTTCCTGGAAAACTGGGGTTAGGGTTAAGGTGGCGAGAAGGAAGGCAATAGTGACAGAATCCTGGAATACTCTGACTTAGAAGGAAATTGATGGCACAGTGGTTTTCACCCACCTTAGAAAGGTCCATTTGCTTTTATGTGTGTAAATACTAATGTTTTATACAATACCAATTCAGATGAAACTTTAAAGACTTTTGAAAAGAAAAATATCATTTGAAGACTCTGGCCAAAAAATGGTATTTTAATAACTCAGGAAATTTCATGCTGCCAGCCTTGTTAATAACATGTCTGATTTAATTATTTATATTAACACTACTGACCTTTAAATTTTTTTTCTTCAACAGAATTTTTTAAACTCCAGCAGTTGTCCTGAAATTCAAGGCTTTTTGCATGTAAAAGAGCTGGGAAGGAAGTCTTGGAAAAAGCTATACGTGTGTTTGCGAAGATCAGGACTTTATTTCTCCACAAAAGGAACTTCAAAGGTGATTTAAGAAAAAAAAAAAAAAAAACCCAGCAGCAACAGTATTTAATTCTGCGCCAGTAATTTAGGCTGTTGGTGATCCTGGGCTTCATTTTAAAATGCAACTTGGGCGCCTTGAAATTTGTCATAACTTACATAAGTTAATTATGTAACACCTAAATTTGGAGTTACTTGTCTTCAGCAGAAACTGGTGCTAACACAGACCTGGGAACTTGCCAGTGAGGTCATTAATGAGTCACTGATAGGATTCTCACCTGCCATGTGGGAGACCTGAGTTCAGTTCCCAGTCGGTGCATCTAACGTGTAGCTACCACTCATCCGTCACTAGAGGCATGTGTTCGTTAGGGTGCTGGACTGGGTTCAGCAGAACTGACAGACTCAGAAGACCTGGCAACCTATTTCTGAAAATCAGCCAATGAAAACCCCGTGGATCACAATAGTCAGATCCACAATGCATCATGGGAATGAATCGGGACTAGGCAGTGTTTCATTCTGTTGCGTATAGGGTCACCGTGAGTTAAGGGTCAACTCAGAAGATGCTAACAACAACAGGGTGCCCTCAGGGCTGAGACAAATTGAAGATGAATGCAGTCTCCTGGCTGCCTCGGATGCATCAGAGGCACTGACTTTCTGACTTTCTTCTCATCATTAGAGAGTTGGGATCCAGGCAGCCTGAAGGATGTTTGGTACATTATTGCCACCCTAATACAAGTATGTTTAAAATTAGGAAATGTGTGTACCAGGGTTGTAGTCTTTCTGTATGCTGAGCACATGATCCGAGAAGCTGGGTCATAATGAAGAGAAACGTGGCGTCAGGATTGGAGGACAGCTCATTAACAAACTACAAAACGCAGATGATGCAGCCTTGTTTGTTTAAAAGTGAAGAGGACTTAAAACAGTTACTGATGAAGATCCAAGACCACAGACTTCCATATGGATTGCATGTCAATATAAAGAAAACAAAAACTCTCACCACAGGACCAATGATAAACAGAGAAAAGATTGAAATTGTCAAAGACTTAATTTTGCTTGGCTCCACCACCAACACTCATGGAAGCAGCAATCAAGAAATAAAACAGCATATTGTATTAGGCAGATCTGCTGCACAAGACCTCTTTAAAGTGTTAAAGAGCAAAGATACCAGTTTGAAAACTTAGGTGCACCTGACCCAAGCCATGGTACTTTCAGTAGTCTCATATGCAAGTGAATGTTGAACAATGAATAAGGAAGACTGTAGAAGAATTGATGCACATTGAGTACAGTGTTAGAGAAGAATATTGAAAGTACCATGGACTTCCTTAGAACAAACAAATCTGTGTTGGAAGAAGTACAACCAGAAGGTTCCTTAGAAGCCAGGATGGCCAGACTTTGTCTCTCATGCTTCAGACATATTGTCAGGAGGGACCAGTCCCTGGAGAAGGACATCATGTTTGGTAAAACGGAGGGTTGGAGAAAAAGAGGAAGACTACCCCCCCCCCCCAACTAGATGGATTGGCATCGTGGCAGTGGCAATGAGCTCTGGCATGGCAATGGTTGTGAAGTTGGCGCAGGACCAGGCTTGTTTCCTTCTGTTGCTCATATAGTCTCTATGAGTCAATACCGATTCCATGGCACCTAGAAAGGAAGCTACCGGTATGGAGTCTTGTTGTGGTGCTGCAGAATAGTGCACTGGACTGCAAGGTTGGTTTGAACTATAAGGTTGGCTATTCAAACTCATCAGCCGCTTCTCAAAAACCCTAAAATTGACTTGATGGCACTTAACAACAAACAATAACAATATCAGTATAATCCTTCTTGTCATAACTACTCTATGGAATAATTAGCCATCTGCTTGTGTCTCCAGTAGGAAGCAAAGGTGAGAGTTCGGTAACTGCTGGAGGCCTCACAGGAGAGCAGGTGGTAAGGGGACTTGTCTTTGCATCCTGTGCACACACTTTTAGTTCCACATCCCTATGAGCCCCTGCAGCAGAGCCTTGATGGCAAAACTTGGCCAGAACCGCCACTGCTAAAAGCTGTGGTCTCTTCTCTTCATGAGAGAGAAAAGATTGAGGGGGGGGTTGGGTCCTGAGCCTCAGGCCTGAGAAATCTATATGCTGCAAGAACCGAACCAAGAGAAAGGAGAAAGTGAGCCTGCAGGCCCTTCCCCTTGCAGTTCTGCAAGGTCTTCAGGGAAGATTTCACCTGATACAGTAGCCGAGAAAGGTGCAAACTCTTGTTATTCCTCATATCCCCACTCTGATGGATGGCTTTTCACTGTCACCTGTGATGAACCAGGGACAGTTTGCATCCTAGAGTGGGAAGCGAGTGGGCAAGCAAGTTCAGACGGACAAGGGTGTGACAAGCTGTCCATGATCAAATAAAGGCAACATTGGATTCTGAATACACTGAGGTACCAAAGGTATAAGGTTCTTGCATTGGGCAGTGTGATTTAATGGACCTTAATGAACCCAAACTTGCTGCCTTTGAGTTGGTTCTGCTTCATCCTATGCAGCCTGACCCTATGCAGGCTTTCTGAGACTGTATGTATGTACGGGACAGAGCCTCTGCTTTCTCCTTGCAAAGCAGCTTCCCAGTGCTTATCCTACAGTGCCACTGGGGCCTTGTTGTTTTTATGTGCCGTCAAGTCAATTCCAACGCGTAGCAACCCTGTGTAGGGTTTCCAAAGAGCAGCTGATGGTTTTGGACCACCAACCATGCAGTTGGCAATCCAGTGCTTACCCTCCAGCACCACAGCAGGTCTTTAGTGTTGTAAAGTCCCATCGAGTTATAGCTTCCCTGTATATAGTTTCCGAGGAGTTGCTGGGTGGCTTTGAACTACCGGCCTTGTAGTTAGCAGGCCCATACTTATCTTACAGCACCACACCCCTGGTTTTTCCTTTGACATTGGGTGATGGGGCTTTGATTTGGCAGAAGAATCAAGTACATTGTAACTGTCAGAAAACTGGGAAAGATTGTTTTGTTTTTGTTTTTTTTGGCAGGCTGGACCAGACTTGCTATACTCTTTCTGTGTCCAGAGGTTACAGTTGAATGTTGGAGGGAAATGTGCTTTGAAATGTGCACATACTGTCCTCTGCTGACGGCAGTCTGAGAAATCTGTGCTTTGTTTCTGCTTGCTCAGGAGCCCCGACACTTGCAGTTGCTGGCTGACTTGGAAGACAGCAACATCTTCTCCCTGATCGCTGGCAAAAAGCAATACAGCGCTCCCACCGACCATGGGTTCTGCATAAAGGTACTTCATCAAGAGCAGTAGCGTTTAGACACTGACCTTAGCATCTGATTGCAAACTCTGAGATGAAACCGAAAGTTTTTCTCTTGACTAGCACCAAGTTGATTTTTTAACAAAGCAGAAACACAGCTTTTACACTGGATACATGCATTCACATGTTTATGACATGCCTGCACTGTGTCAGCCCATGAGTGGCTCGCAAGCTCAAGGAAAGGCAGGAGTACACGTGTAGGTAGTGCTGGTCAGTGTGGTCAGTGGCTTAGTGCTGCATCACTTTGCCACCTGGACAGACAGGGCTTTGGTAACAGCAGAGGAGGAGGGGGCAGCTTGAAGGGAGGAGACCCTTCCCTGCAGCCTGTTATCATCCCCAGGATACCAAGTGAGCTGACACCTGGTGTAGGCTTCCAGTCACGAGTATTCAAACAGAAATGAGCTAAGCACTCCCCACCCTCTGCCCACATGCACATACACACACATTCATCCACATACATACCCACACATGTGTACACACATACATACTAACATACACATATGTACGCCATGTGTGGACACACGTACAGACCCTGGAGGAGTTGTGATAACATTGGTAATAGTAGATAATATTCATTGAGTACTTTGCACAGGAGGCTCTGGGAAGAATTTTACATCCATTATTTCATTTAATTTTCATGGAATAGCCACAGAATCTGTCGTCCCCAGTGCCTAGATTAGGTAGCCCGGTGAGTAGTTGTGTTTGGATTTCCTCCCAGGTGGGCTAACCCGATGCATGGAGCCTGCCTGGAGTGGCAGCAGGGATACAGCGCCACCTGGTGGCACGCCTCCCAGCGAGGCCTGTTGGAAGCCCACATGCTTGCAGTACTTTCTGTCTCACTGGCTGCTCACCCCCTCTGTCTGCAGGCTGGCTTTGTTTCTCCTACAGTGCCAGCTGTATGCAGGGACTTGGTCTTGCCTCTCAAATTCGTGGCCAGTCTAATTCCTGAGGCTGAGAATCAGGTCAGGTTCCACCCAACACTGTCTGTTTGTGTGGAGGCAGAGGGCTCACGTGGAGACTCAGATGACCTTCTCTGCAATCCTTCTCCTTCCTCTAAAGCAGATGCAGGCTTCCTCTTCAGTCCCCTTCTTGGGAGTGACACTGTGCTGGCTCTCAGTCACTTGCACGCTCTCTCTCTTTCTCTCTGTACCTTCTGCCTGGGACACTCACAGTCTCCACAGAGCCACAGAGACACCTTTCTTCCTGCCTTATCCTACAGGGACTGCGCTTCTGCCTGCAGCTCCCTGCGTTGGGCATTTGAGGCACCTTTTCTGTACAGGAGACAAGTTAGTTCTCTTTTGGTAGAATCCGGTTTTTTCTTGACCAAGTTAAACACCCCTTCTCTGTGTGTCTGTAACACGTCCCACATTGTCTTGGGATATTTGTTTTCCCGTCTCCTCTACAAGAGCCTGAGTTCCCCAGAGATGGCTTAGTAATCTTCTAAATAGTAGATAACTCAAGACAGTTCATAAATGAGGGCTAGATGATAGAAACGTGTCAAGTAAATGAATGAATGAATGCTTAATAGAAAGGTATATGTGAACACACCCAAGCTCTGGCGGTGCATCAGAAGGTTTCTGATCTGTGAGACTGAGTGCTTTTGTTATTTCCCTATTGTGTTGCACTGATGGGATTTTTTTTTTTTGCCTCCTTTAGCCAAACAAAGTAAGGAATGAAACTAAAGAGCTGAGGTTGCTCTGTGCAGAAGATGAGCAAAGCAAGACCTGCTGGATGACAGCGTTCAGACTCCTCAAGGTAGTTGATGGGGCTGAGTTTTACAGTTAAGAGCACACCTTCACGGAGAGAGGGTGACAGGGTTTGGTGGTGTTCCTTTGTGAAATTTGCATTCTGTTAGTATTCTTTTAGCAAGTGTAGTTAACTCATCTTTCCAGATAGCATTTCTCAAGTTCAGCACAGTTGACGTTTGTGACGTTCATTTGTGTGGGGGTGGGGTAGGGACTGGGTGGTGTGTGATAATCATTGTATGCACTATAGGATGTTTAGCAGCTTTCTTGATCTCTACCCATTAGATACCAGTAGCACACAACAAACCAACTAGAATAGTTACTTGTGTCTCTAGACATTGCCAACTATCCAATGGGGAGTGGAGGGAACTCACCCCTGTTTGAGAACCTTTGGATCCGAGTAATAGAAATAGAAAAATCAGGACCATGGAGAGGGGAGAAAGCAAGTAGATTATCAGGAAGCTTATGTATTTCCATGCCTGGGCATCAGATCCAGATCCGAGGTTCCTAAAAAGCCAGGTACATAAGGAAGTCATGATGAATTGTACCACTACCCATAGCTCTTTGAGAGAGACCATGTCTCCTGAAAATATGTTTTGAAAGAAACTGGTTGCATGGAACTTCCTATAGGATAATGCCCTTGACAGTGATTTCATAGAACTGTTTATTGTAATAGCTTTGTCTGTTATGGAAAAACCTCCAGGATATAATGATAACAAGAATTCAAGGGCAGAACAGCATATATAGAGTATATAATTTCTGTGTGGAGAAACAAGCGAGATTATGGAGATATATGTTTGTACTTGGCTGGTGTGCGTGCACAGAGTCATCAAGCTGCATCAGATAAGGAGCTTACATGTGGAGAAAATGGGTTCAAGGGTATAAGTAGGGGACTGAAGTCTGAGGGAAGTCTTAATGTGTGCTACATATTTAGGATCTTGGGTAAACATAAGAGGAAATGAGAAGTTAAATAGTAGGATCTTTTTTAAAAACAAGCTAAAACGTTTTCACTATGGGTAATCCATACTAAATCTTATTAGTAAATTGCTAACCAATGTTTCTTGACTAAAAAGAGAAGATATCTCACCTTTGGCACCTTAACAAAAGTAGCCACAGCAAAGAATGTGGGAAGAGCTAATATTGATAACAGTTAATACAATTATTGACAATTGATGATGCCGTTTTCTTAATGTGTTAAATCTTAATATAACGGTAGTGTTTTTCGATCACTTACCATGGGCCAGAACTTTGTCGTTGTACTCTCATTACCTCATTTAACCCTGACAATGGTTTTGTGACATGCATGTTATTATGACCCCCATTTGTCAGATGACAAAACTGAGCCTAACTGAATCATTTTCCCAAGATATGGCTGATAAGCCACGACTATAGTCCAGACATTTGGACTCCTGGGCCCCATTCCTAACTGCCAGCCTTTAGTATCCTCCCTGAGCGCCATCAGAAAGTTGCAGGTGCAGTTCATCTGGACTTTGCATTCTACACCTCCCCAGTGTTCCAGGAGAAATTGGAAAGTGTGAAGGGAACTGGGCAGTGACAGGCTGTTAGGACTGTTCACCACGCTTCGTGGACCAGTCTTCATACAGTGAACACTGTACTATTCCTTTTTGTCTAACTAGTTATGCTTGAGGTATGCTGTCATCGTCACATAGGCTTCTAGGAAAGCCTGTAATGTAGAGAACTGCATAAATCATCACAGCGTTCGGACTGTGAGTTCTCTGTCATTGCCACAACTCACGGAGGGAAAAGAGAACTAGTAGTTGAGGGCAGGGCATGAGGGGTCCCCTCTCAGCACCCACACATGCCTTCAGAGTGGGGTGTATTTTGTTCTAGGAACTTTATACCATGCCTCTGTGTTCTTGGCCCTGTTGTTTTAGCAGAACCATTCTTGGATGTGAGCATTGTTCAGTAATTGCTCCCAGACCGATTCTAGAAGCCATGAGGGATGGGGAATTGCTAAAAAATGAAGGAACCATCAATCTTGTCCTCTTAGTGCCTGTTCTTAGAGCAAGCTCATGGACCTGGGCGTCATCCAGCCGGTTGTTGTTAGGTGACGTCAGCTGGTTTTAACGCATAGCTACCACCAGCACAACAGAACAGAATCCTGCCCGGTCCTTCACTATTCTCGCAGTTGTTATGTTTGGGCCCATTGTTGCTGACATCATGTCAGTTCACTTGATGGGGTTCCTCCTCTTTTCCCCTAACCCTGCACTTTACCAAACCTGATGCCCTTCTTCAGGTCCCCCCTGACAAGAGATTAAGTCACATCACCCTTGCTTCTAAGGAACATTTTGGTTGTACTCCCAAGTGCTTGTGGTAGCCCATGGTACTTTTAATTTTCTGTGCTGATATTATAATTCAAATGCATCAGTTTTCTACTCTTCCTTTTGCATTGTCCAACTTTCGCATGCATATGAGGCAATTGAAAATACCATGGTGTCAGGTAATGCCTACCATAGACCTCAAACTGACATCTTGGCTACTTAGTGCTTTAAAGAAGTCTTTTCCAGCAGATTTGCCTATTGTAATACATCCTTTGGGTTTCTTAACCACTGTCTCCATGAGTGTTTTTGACAACTTCAGTCTTTACACTGCTTATCATGATATTATTTACTGGTCCAGTTATGAGAGCGTCTGTTTTCTTTACATTGAGGCACAATCCTTGCTGAAGGCTGTAGCCTTTGATCTTCATCACTAAGAGTTTCAAGTCTTCTTTGCTTCCAGCAAACAAG